GGCAGCAACCCAGGGAACAGGGCTGCAGACTGGACCTGAGGGTGGAAGCGAGGTCTCTGAGCACAGATGCCAGCACAGATGGTCCCCCAGGAGATGGGGTGGCTTGTTCTAGAACAGCTCAGCCTGCCTACAACATCGCAAGTCACAAGGATGTCTGCAGCTCCATATTGGGTCTTGACCAAAGTCTCTGATCATGGGCCATGTTGATTTCCTGACTAGGGGATCCTAATCCATAGGAAAGCAGCTCTGAAACTGCTTTGGAAGGTTCTAGAAGAGAGTAGCAGCACCTGGTGGAAGATGGAGGCTCAGCATCCTTCCCTCCTATCCTACTTCCCCATCTTCTTCTTTTCCACACCTGGCCAAGTCCCTCAGACTGACTCTTAGCGAGGACAAGGAGGTGACCAGCATCTCCTAAGGACTGCAGAGCTCACTCTGGGCACAGTCATCGGCTCTTGATCAGTCGATGTGGACTGAAGATGGCCACCGCAGTGTATTCAAGACCAAGTTCCATCAGTCCGTTCCCCTCAGCTGCCAGGCTGCATCCTGCAGAGGCGCAGGTGCTCTCCCAGTGAGCCAGGCCTGCGGCTGCAGTGCCAGTAGGCTGCAGTGCAGCCTAATCTGCATTTCCCTCTGTGGTTGGGGATGGACACCAGTCCTCACACTGAAATTCCAGTTCAAGTCTTGCACTTAATAGCCTATTGTTGGCACTGCTCTGCTACTATCAAACCCATTGGGAAGAACCCATCTCCATGATCAGCTCCTCTGAATTGTTCAGCAAGAAAGGTGAGGTTGAGGTAGTGTCCCACAGCACTGGGTGTGTAGGTCGATAGGATGATGATCATAGCCTGGATGATGGCTCTGGTTATAACTCAGGCACAGTCTGAGAGCCTCTGCTCTGCTGCACCTGCAGAGCTCAGGCCCCAAGTGGGAAGAGAAGTTCCATATACAAGCTGTGTATTTGGCCATGCGCAGAGACAGACAGGAGCCGTTTGGGATAGGAGCCAGCACACACCCTCTTCTCTCCACTGACAGCCTTTCCAGGAATTGAGGTCCCAGATGTCATCCCAGCAGCTCACACTGTGCAAGTCAAGCGAGCAGGAGCCCCAACCCACATCAGCCCCAGAGGAAGTCTATGAAAAACTCAGGGGCCGCCCAATCAGAGCTTCTCTTCTTTTTAGGAAGCTTGCTCCCTCCAACTATTCCTTCCTTCCTTTTTTAAAAAACTATTCTTTACTTCCTTTCCCCCTTTTTTTCAATCTAGTAAACAAAAGGAAGAAAGAAAGAAAGACTGATGTAGGGAGGGAGGAAGGAAAGAAGGAAGGAAGGAGAAGAGAAGGAGGGAGGGAGGAAGGACAGAAAGAAGGAAGGAGAAGGGAAGGAGGGAGGGAGGAAAGAAGGAAGGAAGGAAGGAACGAAGGAACAAAGGAAGGAACGAAGGAAGGAAGGAGTAGCTCAGAGCAAAACCAAGGGTGACAAGGAAGGATAGATCTGGGGTGAAGCCCTTTAACCCATATATGGAGTTACCCTGGGCCCCTGCTCTTTCTGTCTGTCCACCCTCCTTCCTCTCCGAGTTGGCTCATGGTCCTCATGTCTCAGAATCTCAAAACGTCACTCTGTCTCTGGATTCATGCCTCCTTCAAAGCAAGAAAGAAGGAGAAACAACTCTCCTGTCACACCTGTCTTGAATAGCAAAAGCCCCTAGAAGCCCATTGGCATAGTGCCCTTGTCTTTCATTGGTCAGGACTGGGTCACATGCTCGCTACGTTACTGAATCCAGTTAACAAGTTCTTTTCCTGGAAAATCCAGTGTCCCCGACAAGAGTATTTTGGGAATGAAGGGCTTTATTCAAAAGTCAAAGAGTGGAGAAGGAAATCAATGTCTCAACCCCACAAGGGCCAAGGAGTGAGATATAAAACAGGAATAATGAGGGAGAAATATGGGCTAATAGGAGGGAGAAATATTCATGTTCTTTTGGAGAAGATTCTGGGGTCTTGTAGGAACATGGGTGTCACGTCTTTTTGCTCCTTGAAGGCTTGGCTTGAACCCATTCTGGGCAAGAGAGTCTGTGACACTCTTATCTCCAGTTGACCACCAAAAAGCCAGAAGTGGAACTGTGGCTCAAGTGGTAGGGTACTAACCTTGAGCAAAAAAGCTAAGGGACAGCACCCAGGCCTCCAGTTCAAGCCTCACAAACTACAAAGAAAAGAAAGAAAGAAAGAAAGAAAGAAAGAAAGAAAGAAAGAAAGAAAGAAAGAAAGAAAGAAAGAAAGAAAGAAAGAAAGAAAGAAGGAAGGAAGGAAAGAAAGAAAGAAGGAAAGAAAGAAGGAAAGAAAGAAAGAAGGAAAGAAAGAAAGAAACACAGAAAGAAAGAAAAGGAAAAAGGGTGAGAAAACTCTGTGCAGAAGAGACATTCAAGCTAGGACTTGAAGGTCCACTAAGGACTGAAGGAGATTGGAGCAGAAAATGGCCCAAGCTGTTCCAAGCAGCATCAGAACGGCCTGTGATTGGGGAGGCCAGAAGGAGACAGGAACAGAATGTGGACACAGACCGGTTGGAGGCAGAATAGAAAATAATCTGTCTTCAGCGCCAGTCACTCCCAGGTCCCAGGTCCAAATGTGTGCTGGATCCCCAGTGGGGACTGCAGGAGGAGATCTGGAAGCCTTGCTCATTGCCAGCAGCCTCATCCGGGAAGGAAGGTAAGGCAGCACTGTTGGCACGGGTATCCACCTTAGAGCTGAGCCTCTGCGGCCCCCGGGGGCCCTCAGAGGCTGCAGCCAGCAAAGCAGCTGCTTCGACATCAGCGGTAACAAAGGATGTGCGTGCAAGGCCTGAAGCAGGGAGGAATAAATGCCTGGTCTCCAAGGCAGGAGCAGAAGAGGGGTTAGCTAAAAACACCCCAGAAACACTACCTTGCTTCTCCCCAAACCATGACATGAATTGTATAGGTTCTGGAAACCAATGGAGCAGGACAGACTTCCAGTGCATCCCAGGGGACCACCCTGCAGCCATATCTAAGCCCCTGGATGTTCCAGCCACTGTGGAGCCAGCATAGGCTCCGCTCCGGCCTGCCTGCACTGGGCTGTCAGCATTAGCTTTCCCGCTGGCCTTCTTTCATTGGTGGCATTAGAGACCTCTTCCTCTCTAGGCTCAACTTTTCTTTCCCCAAATAATTCCAAGTCTTGAAGCCAAGCCATGGCTGTGAACCCAAAGTCAAAGGGATCTCTTTGTCCTTGAGATGGATGGCTCTTGGGGAGATGCTCAGGAAGCACCACTGAAGAATGAAAAGTATGGAGTCGCATCTGTGCCGATGGCACACCATTGTCTTTCCACGTGTGAGCGGAAGGACACTCAGAGAAAGGAGATGGCGCGGCCTGGCCCGGGAGCTCTGATGGCCTAGCAAGGTGCTGGGAAACCTCAAGGACTTGGCTTCTGGTTAAAGGTTTAAATTCTGCTGCAGGGGAAAGAGATCTGAGAGATGACCACCAGGGGCTGCGCTTGGTTTATAATGCTTAAAGAATAAACACTGGCCAATCTGGGCTGTTCCCCCAAATGCTGCCATGGATTTTCTGTATTGGTGACCTAGGAAAGATTGAGAGCCTAAGTCTGTACTTTTGTGCACTTAAATTTTTTTTCAATGCAGTAAAACAACAAAACTAGAAGTTTCTAAAGAGCTACTGTTGTACTTCTTTCTATTATCCTCCTCCTTTCTCTCTTTTTGTCCAAGACCAAGACTCAAACTTGCTATCTGATATTTTTGCTCATTAGCTGGTGCTCTACCACCTGAACCACACTTCCAACCTCTCCTCCTCCTTCTTGGTCACAGGAGCATTTCTGAGTTTTGGTGTGGCTGGAGGCTGCCCAGCTCCTGCGCCCTTCTTCCTGACTTCTGCCTGTGGAAGGTGACAGATGAGGTCGGGAGTAGAAGAGAACCCCACCGCCATAGCTGGAAGCTGTGGGGGTGGGGATGAGGAATTCTGGACGCTCATCCTCCATCATCACAGTCACAGTACCAGGATTATTGGGTAAGATTTTCCCACCCGAGTCCAGAGGGGCACTCAACTTTGAGCACAGTGGAGCTTCACCTATTTCCCACAAGTGTAGGAAAGGCTGCTTTAACACAGCTATGGTGGCAGTTAACTTGAATAGGGAGCTGTTGGGCAGAGTCCCAGTGATAGACAAAGAATAGTTCTGCTCTAGAGACTGCTAACTCCTAAAGGTTACCCAGCTATGCCTTCCCAGAACCCAGCATGGAGAAGTTTACGTGCATCCAACAACTGGTAGCCTATGATCAGTTTATTGATTGCGATCATGCCCCTGAGGCCCCCAGAGCCCCACAGTACACATATAGGGTAAAGGCAGTCTGTGTTTTCATGAGAGTTGCAAAGAGAAAGTCCAGCAGAGCATTTTAGAATGGAGTTTGGAGGCATAGAAATAGCCAGATGCTACGCCTCAGGAATCCCCCGAGGAGGTTGTGTGAAGGTTTGCGGAGCACACAAAGGCTGGGGCACCAAGGTGAAGGAAGTCTCCCTGGGTGTGGCTCTGTGGTGACAGGGCTTAGGAAGGTGGCATCTCCTACTGTGCCTCGTAGACCCTGACAAGCAACATCAACTTGTTCTCCAGCTCCTGAGCTACCCAGCGCAACTCTTTGGCCAACTCTGACTCTGCCCCCTGAGATAAATGCTGTCAATCTTGCACAAGACTGGTCACATCTAACCCAAGTAAGATCCCTGTGGAGACTCCCCCCAAGACTCGGGTTATTCTGCTCATTGACTGTGCAGGGCCCTGAAAGGCTCTCTCCACATTCTCAAAGGTGTTTGAAGATCCCACCCTGTTCAATCGGCCCTCCAACTCATGTGGTAGATGAGGGTTGGTTCTGGCCCCTCTTAAGGTAGAGACATATGGCCCCAGCTCTCTCAGGCACTGGATGAACTCATCCATTGCCAATGAACTTTTAAATGCAAACCTAACACACATCCCTATTAATTCCTTTAATCTATCCGTGCTTGTGGACAACAGCTTCATGGCTTCATCTTTGGCTGAAGCCATTTTACTCCCATCTACAATGCTGGTGGCAGCACTGGTCACAGAAGATGCTGTTCCCAGCCCAATCCCACCTGCCACGAGTGCCATACTGAGTCCTCCTGTGAAAGGTGCCAGAAGAAGGCCACCGAGGGCCATGAGCCCAGAGGCAACACCAGTGGAGTCGGCCACCACGTGGGAGATGGTGCAGTCCTTGTGCACCTTGCTGACCTCCTCTGCCAGGGCCCGGAGCCTCCTGATGTGCCCCTCAACCTCTGCTTTCATCTGAGGAAACCTCTGCAAGAAGATCTTCCTATCCTCCTGGTCTTTCCAGATCATGTCTGCTGTAACGTTCTTCAGAACCTCTCTCAGTGCTCCTGCCTCCTCCCTGCAAAAGTCAATGTCACAGGATGGAGAGCATCAGTTTGTTTTGCTGCAAAATGGATTCCGTAACTTCTTTCCTGCACAAGTCACCATGCTTTCACTAGACTGAAACAAAGCTTACTAGGATGAAACAGATATTCAGTATTGTTCTTTCAAAGATGAACGAGTTTAGTAGGTCCCAGAGGCTCTGTGGTCCGTACTCAATGAGGGTCAAAGAGTAAAAGGCCACTTAGGATGTTCTTTCATGAAGGGCATTTGAGAGAAACCTCCCTCTCAAGATAAATGCTTGACAGCCAAGGCCTCTGCCAGTAGGAGGCTCTGACATTGAACAAAGAGCCTTACATCCTAGAAGACCAGTGTGTTAAACCACCAGCCTTACCAAAGCCTTCCCTGGCTGCTCTGTGTCTGGAAAAGGATCTGCAGACTCCTGGGAAGTCCTGCCAGCCAGGAGTGGCTGTGTTAGCCTGCAGACTTTGGCGACAAGGCCGTACAGGTGGAACATTTCTGATTCAAAATCCCCAATTCCAAAACGCCTCCAAAGGTGAATCAGTAATTTCTGAGTTCTGGGGACTGGACTCAGGCCTTGCAGGTCAAATCCTCTCCCACATGAACCTTGCAAGCTCCGGTCCTTTAGCCTTTTGTTTTTTGCTTCAGGTGAGACCCTGTACAAACTTTGTCCTACCCCAGCTCAGTCCTGAATGTGTGCTGAGGGCCTGTTATTACTGCTGATCACCTACGTCCTCTTCTCCAGAAACTGGGATGGGCTGCCATCGCCTGACCCCAAATCTGAAATCCTCTCAGCACTACCATGGAGCCAGACATGGCAAGTCCTACACCTGACCTCAGCAGAGAGATTGTCGTAAAATAGCCTATGGAATCACCTGCAGGTTGTGTGTCATGTACAAAAAATAAATCTTTTATGAATTTCACATCAAGTGCAGACCCTAGCCCCGAGGTATTTCATTACATACCTGACATGTGTCAAAATCCAAAAGAAAATAACCAGAACCCATTTGGCCTCACTGATTCTGGGTAAAGAATGCCAGGTCCTGGCAGTGTAAGGGTGATGTGGGGTGGGTGCTTTGACATCATTTCTGACTTCTAGAGGCACTAGAGACTGAAGGCACTGAGCTCTGGGAGGGAGGGAGGCTGCAGGGTAGACTTGAAGCAGGGTGTGATTAAGCCTCATGATGGAATCTGGGTTGTCCTCCTGACTGGCTGGAGATGCGCCTGGGAACTT